CTTCTGTGGGGGGCTGCCCACGGTCATCTGGAGGTAGTAGCCCTGGCCGGACTTTCCCCGCAGGTTGTCCAGCATGGCCGTGAAGGCGCCCTCCCCTGGGGCCTCTTTTTGGGGGGCGCGCAGTGAGGCGGGGGTCCCGGCTTGCAAAGGGAGGCGCAGGGCCCCGGAGGGGAGGGCCCCCACTAGCAGGGGCCCCAGGGGCAGCAGGAGGAGGAGGAGGAGCAGGGGCAGCAGGGGGCCCCCTTCGGCCATGCTGGGGCCCCTGGGGGAGGGGCAGGGGGAGGGAGAGGGGGAGGAGGAAGGAGGACGGGAAAAGGAAAAGGAGGAGGAAAAAGAGGAGTGACAGGAGGAAGTGGGGGAGGAAGGGGAGGAAGGAGGAGAGGGGGCGGTGTTGGAGGAGGAAGGGGATGCGAAGAGGAGGAGGAAGGGGAGGAGGAAGAGGAGGAAGAAGAAGCAGAGGAAGAAGAGGAGGAGGAGTGTGAAGAGGAAGGGGAGGAAGAAGAGGAGGAAGAAGAGGAGGAGGAAGAGGAGGGGGAGAGGAGGAAAAGGAGAATGAAGAGGATGGTGAAGAAGAGGAGGAAGAGGAATAAGAAGGAGGAAGAGGAAGGGAAGAGGAGGAGGATGGGGATGCGAAGAGGAAAAGGAAGAGGAAGAAGAGGAGGAAGGGAAGGAGAAGAGAATGAAGAGGAGGAAGGAGAAGAAGAGGAAGAGGAATAAGAAGGAGGAAGAGGAAGGGAAGAGGAGGAGGATGGGGATGCGAAGAGGAAAAGGAAGAGGAAGAAGAGGAGGAAGGGAAGGAGAAGAGAATGAAGAGGAGGAAGGAGAAGAAGAGGAAGAGGAATAAGAAGGAGGAAGAGGAAGGGAAGAGGAGGAGGATGGGGATGCGAAGAGGAAAAGGAAGAGGAAGAAGAGGAGGAAGGGAAGGAGAAGAGAATGAAGAGGAGGAAGGAGAAGAAGAGGAAGAGGAATAAGAAGGAGGAAGAGGAAGGGAAGAGGAGGAGGATGGGGATGCGAAGAGGAAAAGGAAGAGGAAGAAGAGGAGGAAGGGAAGGAGAAGAGAATGAAGAGGAGGAAGGAGAAGAAGAGGAAGAGGAATAAGAAGGAGGAAGAGGAAGGGAAGAGGAGGAGGATGGGGATGCGAAGAGGAAAAGGAAGAGGAAGAAGAGGAGGAAGGGAAGGAGAAGAGAATGAAGAGGAGGAAGGAGAAGAAGAGGAAGAGGAATAAGAAGGAGGAAGAGGAAGGGAAGAGGAGGAGGATGGGGATGCGAAGAGGAAAAGGAAGAGGAAGAAGAGGAGGAAGGGAAGGAGAAGAGAATGAAGAGGAGGAAGGAGAAGAAGAGGAAGAGGAATAAGAAGGAGGAAGAGGAAGGGAAGAGGAGGAGGATGGGGATGCAAAGAGAGAAAGAGGAGGAGGAAGGGAAGGAAGAAGGGGGTGCAAAGAGGAGGAGGAAGATGAGCAGGAGGAGGAAAGGAAGGAGGAAGAGGAAGAAGGAGGAGAAGAGGAGCAATAAGAGGAGGAAAAGGAGAATGAAGCAGAGGGAGAGAAGAGGAGGAGGAAGGAGAGGAAAAGGATAAGGAAGAGGAATTAGGAAAAGAGGAAAAGGAGGAAGATGAAGAGGAAAAGGATAAGGATGAGGAATTAGGAAAAGAGGAAAAGAATGATGGAAATGAGGAGAATTAAGAAGAGGAGGGGGAGGAAGAGGAGGAAGAAGAGGGGCAGAGGAATGAAGAGAAGCAAGAAGAGGAATGGGAAAGGGAGAAGGAAAAGGATGGAAGAGGAGAGGGGAAGGGCGAAGGATAAAGTAGAGATTAGAGAAGGAAGAGGAGGATGAAGAGGAGGAGGGAGGCCTCAGGGACAAGCGGGGGTGGGGGGGGGGAAAGGGAGGAGGCCTTCCTTCAATGGGAGGGGTTCCTCCTCCTCCTCCTCCTCTTCTTCCTTCCTTCCTTCCTTCCTTCCTTGCTTCCTCTCTTCCTCCTCTCCTTCCTCCTCCTTCTCCCGGGCGCTGGGCCTGGGCAATGGAGCCCGGAGCCGGAGAAGAAGAAGAAGAGGAGGAGGAGGAGGAGGAGCGGGAGGCGGTGCGAAGCTCGCCGGGAGTTGTAGTCTCTCCCCCCCCCCCCCAGTTTGCATCCACGCTGATGGAGGGAGGGAAGGAAGGAGGGAGGGAGCAAGGGAGGAGAAGAAGAAGAATGCCTTGGGCCAGAGAGCCTGCCTCCCTCCCTGCCTCCTTACCTTCCTATTCCCTTCCTTCTTCTTTCCTCCTCCTTTTCCTTCCTTCTCCCTTTCTCTCTCCCCTCTCCCCCTTCTTTTCTTCCTCCCTTCTTCCCCCTTCTTCACCCTCCCTCCTTTTCTCTCTTTCCTTTCTCCCTTCTTCCTTTCCTCCTCCCTCCCTCCTTCCTTCCTTCTCTTCCTTCCTTCCTTTCTTTTTTCTTTCTTCCTCTTTTTTCTCTTCTTCTTTCTTTCCTTTTCTTCCTTCCTCCTTCTTCTTTCCTCCCTTTCTCCTTTCTCTTCTTTTTCTTTTCTTCCTTCCTTCATTCTCATTTCTTCTCCTTCCTTCCTTCCTTTCCTCCCCTTCTTTCCTTCCTCCTTCTCTCCTCTCTTCCTTTTTTCCTCCCTCCTCCTTCTTCCTTCCTTTTTTTCCTTCCTCTTTTTTTCTCTTTCTTTTTTCCTTCTTCCTCCCTCTCACCCCACTTTTCCTATCTTTTTCTTCCTTCCTTACTTTCTTTCCTTCCTTCTCCCTTACATTTTCTTCCTCCCCTTTTCTTTCTTCCTTCCTTTCCTCCTTCCTTTCTCCTTCCCTCCATTCTTTTCTTCCTTCCTTTCCTCCTTCCTTTCTCCTTCCCTGCATTCTTTCTTCATTTTCTTCCTCCCTTCCCTTTTCTTTCTTCCTTCCTTTCTCCTTCCCTCCATTCTTTCTTCACTTTCTCCCTTCCATTCTTCCTTCTATCCTCCCTCCCTCCTTCCTTCTTTTTTTCCTCCCTCCCTCCCTCCCTCCTTCACTTCTTTCCTTTCCTCCCTCCCTACCTTCCTGCCTGAATTGGGTGTGGTGCCATAGGTGTGCTGAGGAACCCCAAGTATATTTCTTGGTGCCTCCAGCGATGGCTTGTGTGTCTCCTCTGAATGAATGCCCGGAGGAGGTCCTGGGTTGGAGGAGGACAAACCTATTGAGACTCCATCCAGGGAAGGTGAGATGCTTGGCCTCAAGGGTCCTCCTCACCTGGGGATGGAGGTGTGCCCACCGGCCCCTTGAAAGTCTCTGTCCGCAGCTTGGGGTCCTCCTGGACACGTCCCTCCAAAGGTCATCCCAAATAGAAACGACTATGGTCAGGAGAACTTACTCATTCCTGTCAGCTTTGGCTGTGCTTTGTGTGTGTAGATATATTTGTGTATATATGTGGTTCTGCGCGTGTGTTATATTTTTGGTTTTTTGGCTTTGTAAGTCTCTTCTGCTGTGTGTTTTATGAGTGATGGTCACTCATTGGCCTGAGAGGTGTCTTGTGTCCAAATTTGGTGTCAATTCATTCAGTGTTTCTTATGTGAATCCCACAAACAAACATGACATTTTTATTTATATAGACTAGCCGTCCCCTGCCAGGCGTTGCTGTGGCCCTCAGAAAACAGAGGAATTCTAGGCATGAAACAATAGACAGAAGAGACAGACGGAAGAGACATTGGTAGATGGAACAGAAGGTAAATAGATAAGATGGAATGGTAGATGGATGGATGGTTGGACAGACAGACAGACGGACGCACATCTTTAAGGGGCCAAAGGGGGTTGGCCTTTGGGGCTCCCTTCCAACTGGTTGGCCACCTGTCGGGTAGGCTTTGATGGTGTCTCCCTTTAACGCCCAATGAGGTTGAACTTGGGGCTCCTTTCCAACTGGATGGCCATCTGTCAGGAGGGCTTTGATGGTGTCTTCCTTTACCACCCAATGAGGTTGGACTGGATGGCTTTTTGGGGCTCCTTTCCAACTGGATGGCCATCTGTCATCCAGTTGATGGTGTCTTCCTTTACCACCCAATGAAGTTGGACTAGATGGCCTTTGGGGCGCCTTTCCAACTGGATGGCCATCTGTCGGGAGGGCTTTGATGGTGTCTTCTTTTGCTGGACTGGATGGCCTATGGGGCCCCTTTAACTACCATGGCTCAATGCTGTGGAATAATTCCACGGTGTAGACCACGTAGGGGCAGACTTGGGCCCTCCAGGGGTTTTGAACTCCAACTCCCACAATTCCTAACAGCCTTCCCAACAGCATTTTGGGGTTGGAGTTGTTTTTGTTGCTGTGTGTGTGTTGTTTTTTGTTGGATTTTTTTTTTTTGCGTTTTTCTGAGTGATGGTCACTCTTTGGCGTGAGAGGTGTCTTGTGTCCCAATTTGGTATCAATTCGTCCAGTGGTTTTTGAGTTATGTTAATCCCACAAATGAACATTACATTTTTATTTATATAGACTAGCCGTCCCCTGCCACACGTTGCTGTGGCCCACATGGGGGTTCTGTGTGGGAGGTTTGGCCCAATTTCTATCGTTGGTGTGGTTCAGAATGCTCTGTGATTGTAGGTGAACTATAAATCCCAGCAACTACAACTCCCAAAAGTCAAGATTCTATTTTCCCCAAACTCCACCAGTGTCAAGGTCTATTTTTCCCAAACTGCAGTTTGGTCCAGATCCATCATTGTTTGAGTCCACAGTGCTCTCTGGATGTAGGTGAACTACAAACTCCAAAATTCAAGGTCAATGCCCACCAAACCTTCCAGTATTTTCTGTTGTGGGTCTGTATGCCAAATTTGGTTCATTCCATCATTGGTGGAGTTCAGAATGCTCTTTGATTGTAAGTGAACTATAAATCACAGCAACTACAACTCCTAATGAGAAAATCAATTCTTTTTGAGTGATGGTCACTCCTTGGGTTAGTAGGTGTGTTGTGTCCAAATGTGGTGTCAATTCGCCCAGTGGTTTTTGAGTTATATTAATCCCACAAATGAACATTACATTTTTATTTATATAGACTAGCTGTACCCGCCACGCGTTGCTGTGGCCAACCTTCCCTTCCTTCTCTCCTTCCTTCCTCTTTCCTTCCTTCCTTCCCATCTTTCTTCTCTTCTTCCTTCCTTCTCTTCCTCCTTCCCTTTTTCCTTCTCTTCTGCTGTCTCTCTTTTCTTCCTTCTCTTTCCTTCTTTCCTTCCCTCTCTTTCTCTACATCTTCCCCTTCCTTCACTCCCTTTCCTTCCTTCTGTCCTTTCTTTCCTTCTCTCCTTCCTTCCTTCTCTAACTTTCCTTCCTTCCCCCTTTTTCTTTCCCTCCCTTTCTCTCCTTTCTTCCTTCTCTACCTCTTTCCTTCCTTCTCTCTTTGCTTCCATGCTTCCTTCCCTTTCCTTCTTTCTTTCCCTCCCTCCCTCCCTCTTTTCTTTCTTTCTTTTCTCCCCTCCCCTCTCTCTTTCTTCCTTTTTTCTGTATTGTCACTTATCTTTTGGGGACTTTTAAAGTCCCTTCTGCTGTGTTTTTCAGTGTTTTTATGAGTGAAGAACATACATTGGGTTCTTAGGTGTCTTGTGTCCAAATTTGGTGTCAATCCATCCAGTGGTTTTTGAGTTCTGTTAATCCCACAAACGAACATTACGTTTTTATTTATTTAGATTTTTTTTTTGTCGTGTTAGGAGCGTCCTGTTGTGAGAGAATTGGCCGTCTGCAAGGACGTTGCCCAGGGGACGTCCTGATGATTTTTGATGTTTTTATCATCCTTGTGGGAGGCTTCTCTCATGTCCCCGATGAGGAGCTGGAGCTGATAGAGGGAGCTCATCCGCCTCTCCCCGGATTCGAACCTGCGACCTGTCGGTCTTCAGTCCTGCTGGCACTGGGGTTTAACCCACTGCGCCACCGGGAGCTCTATTTATATAGATTGTACTGCATTACATTATAATAGTATAAATATTATAATGTAATGGCATTGATAATAGTGTTACAGAGTGTAATTTATGGGGACGAAAAGGGGTCACGAGCGGGAAAGTGTTTGTTTTCTCATATTTCCCAAAGCCCTGGTTGCACAAAACGAAACCCCAAAGATACGGAGACTCGCTGGTGATGGTTCCAGTTGGGTTTAATAAGTTAAAGGCCCGCCCGTTGCATTTTGCAGTCGACTCTCCCAACATATACAAAGGTGCAGAAGGTCACAATCATCATTAAATATATTCTTCTTCCTCTTCTTTAAAGTCTATTCCTTTAAATATCTACATGTCTCTTTATTTTACTCTACAAACAATCGGGGGGGGGGGGGTTACAGTGATCCACCCAACGGCAAAGCAAGGAAAAGGAGGAGGGGTCCGAAAACAACGCGGAGGCAGCGATGGAGAAACGGCCAAAAGGATCAGAAGCGCATCCCTTCGTCCACCTTTCCACTATTCACGCCGCTGCAAATGTGGCTCAGGAAGAGCGAGAGAGAACGACGGAGGAAAAGGAGGCCGCACAACAGGCCGCACTTCTCTTCCGTCAGCCACCACTTTGCAATACTAATTTATTTTATTTGCTCCCCGCCTTTCCTTTGGGAAGGACTCCCCCATAAATAAAATAAAAAATGCCCAATCGGCCCTTCCCCAGCAGACATTCAGAGCTCTCCCCCCCCTCGCAGCAAAGCCCCCCCTTCCCATGCGCACCGTGCACCAGCCGTGCCGCCCCAATTTTGCATCCGTGCCAAGTCCAGCCTGTGCTTCGTGTAAGCCCTTTTCGCCCATGATTGGACCTGGGGAAATCCTTCATTATTCCTCAGTGCAAGTAATCTCTACGTTTAATTTCCTCGTCATGCAAGATGTACTGACCGGCAGCCCGTGGCCGGACGCGGTCAGAAGTAAGTCGGGTCCCTCGGCTGCAGGGCTTCCTTTTTGCAAAAGAGGGACCGTCCAACCATTTGCTTTGAAACAGGCCCAAAGCCAGGGCTGCAATGGAGGATGGAAGCCGTCGCTGAAGCCCCGAAAAGCCCATCTCCAGCATCTCTTTTGCATTTCCGAAAGAACAATCAACTCCCGACTGTTTACCTACGGCGAGCGCTTCATGCAAAACCAAAGGAGCAAAGAGCAATGCTAAGGGGAAAATGTATTGTCGAAGGCTTTCATGGCTGGAATCACTAAGTTCTTGAGGGTTTTTTCGGGCTATAGGGCCATGTTCTAGAGGCATTTCTCCTGACGTTTTGCCTGCATCTATGGCAAGCATCCTCAGAGGTAGTGATGTCTGTTGGAACTGGGAAAAGGGTTTATATATCTGTGGATTGACCAGGGTGAGACAAAGAACTTTTGTCAGTTGGGCTAGGTGTGAATGTTTCAACTGACCATCTTGATTAGCATACAATGGGCTGACTGTGCCTGGAGCAAACTCTTCTTGAAAGGTAAACAGATGTCCCTGCCTGTTTCCTCTCTGCTGTTTTTGCTGTTGCAATTTTAGAATTTTTTAATACCAGAACACCTGATGAACCAACCTGGACACAGCATTTTATTTGAGAACACAAAAATGCTGGACCACTCTCACAACCACCATGTCAGGCTACACAGAGAAGCCATTGAAATACACAAACATGTGGACAGTTTCAACAGAAGGGAAGAGACCATGAAAATGAACAAGATCTGGCTACCGGTATTAAAAAACTCTAAAATTGCAACAGCAAAAACAGCAGGGAAGAAACAGGCAGGGAAATCTATTTACCTCTCAATAAAAGTTTGCTCCAGGCACAGTCAGCCCATTGTATGCTAATCAAGGTGGTCAGTTGAAACATTCACACCTAGCTCCAGCAGACAAGAGTCCTTTGTCCCACCCTGGTCATTATTCCACAGAGATATAAACCCATTTTCCTAGTTCCAACAGACCTCACAACCTCTGAGGATGCTTGCCATAGATGCAGGCGAAACGTCAGGAGAAAATGCCTCTAGAACATGGCCATATAGCCCGAAAAAACCCTCAAGAACTTACTAAGGGGAAAATGTTTACCAACGACCCGTCCCTACGGCGAACGATTCACGCAAAACCAAAAGGGTGAAAGAGAAACGCATGTACAGTGACAACCAAATCAAAAACACATTCCTGATTCAAATCGTTTCCGTTGCGAATCCACATTCTGCAAAGAAACACGGCAATAAGGGACAAACCGGCGGAGATTATTCGGGTTCGCATCAAGGACTCGCGGGAGGGAAAGAGAGAGAGGATGGCGGTTCGGTCCGTCCATGCCTGGCAACGCCCGCGGCACAAATGGCTTCCGTTCGGGGCAAGGAACACAGAGGAAAAGGCACGCTCGCCTTCTCCGAGGTTGGAGGGAAGGGCGGCACCGGGAAGACGGCCAAGCGAAGCGGGAACACGCCACCCGCATGGCGCCCTTCTTCCTGCGAAGGGTCGCACCCGCTCCACGGCTTTTCCATCGCATGCGCAAAGGTTGCTGCACGCCGAGTGCCCTCCTTCACCATTGTGGGTCCCCTTTCGTGACCCCGTGCACGACAGAGAGGGCTCCTTCCTTCTTTGCTCTCATCTAGAGGATCCAGAGGAGCAGCCAAGCCTTCTGGATCCACCTGTGTGGGTCCTCTTTTGTGACCCCCAAAAGTGCACGACGGAGAGGGCTCCCTTCCTCCTTTGCTCTCACCCGTTTTCCCCTGGGAGGGGATCCAGATGAGCAGCCAAGCCATCTAGATCCAACTACGAAGGGTATCCCTCCGTCTCCTCCTTCCTCTCGCCTGTAACTTTGGGCCGGATGTCCCTGATGGCGAAGCAGCACACCCTCGCCTCTCCTGCCAGCCTTGAAACCTGAGTACTGACTTCTGGGGTCCCCTGAAAAACCTGTTTCCTTATAGCAAGAGCCTCCTCGACACCCCAAATCCACCCCCCATCCCATCTCTTTGCAATCACCTGCCGGAAGGGACCAGCCCAGCCTTGCCAGGTTCTCTCTCTCTGCAGGGCATGGTCACCGTCCACCTCCGTTCTGGACACATTCGGAGTCTCCTCGCCTCTTCCTACACACCCACAATGGCTCTCCCATCAAAGCAGTACCCGCCGAGGATGGGCGGCCCCCCGTTTCCCGTTGCATCCAAGGCTTTCGACAGTCCCTTCTCGGACCGGGAAAAAGGCAGCGGGAACAACACTCTGTGCCACCTCAAGGGGGGAATTCGCCGGCGGCGACGTGTCACCCGGCTCAATAAGAAAGGGACCCACCGACATGGCTCAAGAGTCCCACTGGTTTGCCATGTCTGTAGAAACATTGCACACCAAAACAGAGTGGGGTTGGAGTGGGATGGGTTGGGGGGCACCACAAGACCGGCTCCTTCCTGCCCTCAAGTCCGCAAGAGGGGCCGTCCCCAAAAAGACGGAGAGTGGAGGCCAGCTCCAAAACGGGCCGAAGGGATGCCCGACCAGGCTTCAACAACGCACGGCCTCCTTCGCCCGGAAGGGGAGAGGAACCGGGGAGGCGGCGGAAGGGGAGCGTCGAGACGTGGGGAGGGGGCTCCAGGGGGAGGCGGCCCAGCCCTCGCTGACCCTCAGTGCTTGTCCGCCGCCGCAGCCGTCGCGCTCCCGTTGGCCTTGGTCTTGGGCTTGGCCTTGAAGGAGAAGCGCTTGATGATCCGCCGGGAGAAGCTGCCGGACGTCTTGCGCGGAGCGGCATTGGCGGCAGCGGCATTGGCGGCGTTGGGCAGGTCGTCGTGGGACTGGCTGAGGCCGGCCGCCTTCTGCTTGCGTTTCCGCCGGAAGATGAGCTTGGTGCCGCTCCGGAGGAAGCCCACTGCAGCAGCAAAGGCATCGGAGGGACAAAGCGTCAGCACAAACCCGGACACACGAAGGGAGACTACTTCATACTTATCAATAATAATATAATAACAACATAAATACTATCATTATATATAATAATAATTAAATTTATAAATAATAATACTAATACCTACCAATAAAACTATTACTATAATAAAGAATAACACTTATCATAATACTGCAATTATAAATAATAATAAAGAATGTATTGTCGAAGGCTTTCATGGCTGGAATCACTCAGTTCTTGTGGGTTTTTTCGGGCTATAGAGCCATGTTCTAGAGGCATTTCTCCTGACGTTTCGCCTGCATCTATGGCAAGCATCTTCAGAGGTTTGAAGATGCTTGCCATAGATGCAGGCGAAATGTCAGGAGAAATGCCTCTAGAACAGGGGTAGGGAACCTTTGGCCCTCCAGCTGTGGTGGACTTCAACTCCCACAATTCCTTGAGGCTCGGCATTCGCCCCAAAGGCTTACCTTGGCCCAATGCCGAGCCTCAAGGAATTGTGGGAGTTGAAGTCCACCACAGCTGGAGGGCCAAAAGTTCCCTACCCCTGCTCTAGAACATGGCTCTATAGCCCGAAAAAACCCACAAGAACCTAATAATAAAGAATACTTATAAATATTATTATGACAATAAATATACATATAAATAATATAAATAATAATAAATATTACTAATATAATAAAAATAACAAATTAAATACTTAATAATAATATAATAAATAGTAATAATATTAAATACTTATAAATAATAATATAATAACAACATAAATACTATTATCATATATAATATCTGAACTTATAAATAATAATGCTAATACTTATAAATAAAACTATCACTATAATAAATAATAATAACACTTATCATAATACTACTAATATAAATAATATTAATACTTATAAATATTATTATGACAATAAATATACTTATTAATAATAATACTAATAAATACTTATAAATAAAACTATTACTATAATAAATAATAACACTTATTACAATACTACTATTATAAATAATAATAAAAGAATACTTATAAATAATATTATTATGACAATAAATATACATATAAATAATAATAAATACTTATAAATATTACTAATATAATAAATAATAACAAATTAAATACTTAATAATAATAGAATAAATAGTAATATTAAATATTACAGACTACTTTATACTTATAAATAATAATATAATAACAACATAAATACTATTATCATATCTAAAAATATTTAAACTTATAAATAATCATACTAATACTTATAAATAAAACTATTACTATAATAAATAATAACACTTATACTACAATTGTAAAGAATACTTATAAATATTATTATGACAATAAATATACATATAAATAATATAAATAATAATAAATATTACTAATATAATAAATAATATCAAATTATATATTCAATAATAATAATATAAATAGTAATAATATTAAATACTTATAAATAATACAATTATTTCTAATATTATACTATTACTATAATAAATAGTAACTTATTATAATACTATTATAAATAATAATAAATAATACTTATAAATATGTTTCTGACAATAAATATACTTATAAATAATATAAATAATAATACTGGTAAATAATACTATTATAATAAATAATAACAAATTAAATGCTTATAAATAATACCATTATTTCTAATATTATACTATTATAATAAATACTAATACTTATAAATAATATTATTTTGAAAATAAACAAATATACTTCTAAATAATTATATAAATAATAATACTTATAAATAATACTACTATTATAAATAATAACAAATTAAATACTTATAAATAATAATATAATAAATAATAATAATATTAAATACTTATAATACCATTATTTCTAATACTATACTATTATAATACTAATAATTATAAATAAAACTATTACTATAATAAATAATAACTTATCATACTACTAATATCAGTAATAATATTAAATAATAATTATAAATAATATTATTATGACAATAAATATACTTATAAATAATAATATAAATAATAAATACTTCTCAATAATACTATTATAATAAATAATAACAAATTAAATACTTATTATTATTTATAAATATTTATAAGTATTATTACTATTTATTATATTATTATTTATAAGTATTTATTATATTATTATTTATAAGTATTTGTTATTTGCTGTGAGTCGCCTTCGGGCTTGAGATACAGCGGTATATAAGCAAAGTAAATAAATAAATAAATTATTATTTATTGTTATTATTTATATATAATAAATAATAATATTAAATACTTCTAAATAATACCATTATTTCTAATACTATACTATAATAAATAATAGTAAATACTTATAACGAATAATATTATTATAATTAATACTAATCATGATAAAGAATAAATAACAATCATGATCATAATCATGACCATAGTGGCCCTCCTTTGGGCTCTGGTCTGGCGCAGCCCCCTGAGGGTCAGCCTTGGGTCCTACTGGTCTCACCTTTGTGGTCCTTGAGGCTGCGTGTCTCCAAGGCCCCCGTGGAGCCGGTCTCTGACTCGGCCTCGTCCCCGGAGGCCCGTTCGGAAATGTCGGAGCGCGTGGCCTCGTCCAGGTCCTGGCCGTTCCCCTGCGCCGCGTAGGAGCCCCCCATCGGGGTGTCGGCCAGGCTCTGGGAGAACTCGGACATGCCGGCCAGGAGGGAGTCCTCCTGCAGAGCCCCCTCCATCGAGGCCGCATAGCCCAGCGAGAGCGCCGCCTCGTCCTCCTCCAGCGGGACCTGCGGGGACACGGACCACGTGAGAATACGGGGCTTGGAAGGGACCCCCAAAAGCCATCTAGTCCAACCCCTTCCACGCAGGAAAAGCACAATCAAAGCAGACTGCTTGCATATCTGTTTTCCAGCTCTGTTTCTATTACATAATGCATATAATAAAATAAAAATAGATTCTATATAATAATAATAATAAACTTTTAAATTTATTATTAGTTTAGTAATAAATATTATTAATAGACTAATAATAAATGTATCTCCCAACTCAACGATTCTATGCATATTTATTATAATACAATGTAATGGAACATAATATAGTCATTGTATTATATTTGTTATGTATATTTACGAATATAAATACTGTATATTTATATGTATATGAATATAAATACTGTAGATAAATATTCTATTTATATAATATTATATAGAATATAATATATTCTTCCTAATGTTTGGGTGGAATCTATGCCAGATTCAAGGGGGGGGGGATGACTCTAGAGACCATCTAGTCCAACCTCCTTCTGCTAGGCAGCCACCCCACAGCGAAAGCCCAAGGAAGCCGCAACCACTTGCCTTGGAAACTCCTGAGATGATGAGGGTGCTGCGCTTGGTCGGGGTCTTCTTGGCAGGCTTGTTGGTCAAGTCGGTCAGCTGCCGGATGGCCGTCTCAGCCACAGGGTCCAGGCCATTAGAGGCATGGCTGCTCCCTGGGAGAGAAGGAGAAGCAAAGGCACCATTGAGTTCAATGCATGCGGAAGGGGAGGACAGGCCCTGAAGCCGCTGGACCCTACACACACACACACACACACACACACACACACACACTTACGAAATGTCCCTGTTCTGACATACATATAAATTCAAGCAATCTTGTTCGTAACTTGGGGACTTACCCACATTCCTCCCAACCGATGGCAATGTAACTCCTCCTATTTTTATTATTACCATATATATATGGTTGGGGTTAGACTAATGAAATATCTGTGTTCTATATAATAATAATAATAACAACAACAACAACAATAATAAACTCTATATGTGTGTGTGTATTGCTGGGGTTAGACTAATGAAATATGTGTTCTATATAATAATAACAACAACAATAATAAACCCTGTGTGTGTGTGTGTGTGTGTGTGTGTGTGTGTGTGCGCGCGCGTGTGTGTGTATTGCTGGGGTTAGACTAATGAAATATGTGTTCTATATA